TGAGGGGCTTGGGTACTGTTCTGTCCATGTGGGCTGGCGCTAGCAGAGCTCATATGCTCTAGAGCCTGGAGGGAAGAACCAGCTAATGGTGGTTAATGAACGTGTTCTCAAAGCTGACCTTCAAGTGATTTAATGGCTGAAAATGACTGTATCTTTTTTTTTTAATGGCAAATGTGGGGAAAACAGGAATGAGCATCATTTTGGATCTATTGAGCTTCATACTCCATGTGAATGTGTCAAGCAATCGATTTGTAATGTTCATAAGAATATTGGGAATTTGTTCCTGGAAGAGAGACTATAGGGGACTGAGCTAATACAGAGACTCCCTTTTCTGTTCCCATTACAGACACATAAATATAACAACTTGTAAAACATATAGCCAAGATCAGAAAAGAAAACAAAGTCCTCAGATTTCATCAAAGAAAGTGTGGTAAGGATGCAGGCTGATGCCACTAACACACGGGGGTATCTATTCCAGATATAATCCCTGGTGGCTTGGAAATGGGATTTTAAAATCTATATGGGAAAAGATAGATGTTCTGCTAAGACTGGATTTGGAACTGAGTGTTTTTGGAGCCTGGAAGCACTTCCTTGCCAGTGCAAAGTCACTGAAATATGTGCCAGTGTTATGGGTTTTGGATTTATGACATATGAGTATTGTGGAAACCCAAATTGAGAAATGAAGGTAGGCATTTGCCTGGGAACTGGTAAAGTCTTCAAGGCAAGAGAAAAAGGAAATTAGATATACTTTATAGGAACATTAAAATAACTCAGGACTGTCACTTCAGGAACTTCTACAGAAACTGAAATCACCATGAAAAGGCACTAATGGTAAAAATGACAGGCCACATGAGGAAACAAACTATCCTAAGAAAAATAAGCAGAAGAAAAAGAAAAAGCAGGAGAATTTTCACTGAAGAGAAGGACATAGAATAATTTGAAAAGGATATTGTAAATTAATGCTCAACCTATTTATAAAGGCAAAGGAAGAACATAATAAAAGGACAGGTCTTTATGGAAAAAAGAATGAAGATTTAAGAAAAAGAAATGGAAATAAAAATACATGTGTTAAATAAAAACAACAATTGCATTGAACAGCAGATTACAGTTGAAGAGAGGATTAGTCGTCTGGAAGTAGAATTTGAGGAAACTGCAATCATGAAACACAGAAAGATAATAGAAATTTTGAAAGTGAAATTAAGAGAGAATACCTAATAGAATTCCCAGAAGGGAGAAAACAGGGAAAATAGATATTTTGATGAACTAGTACTTTGATGATTTTCTAGAAAAGAGCAAAAGCATTAATGTTAATATTGAAGAAGTATAACAAGTCCTGACATACTCATTATAAAATGTAGAATATTAGGTATAAACAGATAATCCTAAAGCAGTAGAGAAAAAAATACTATAAAAATAAAGGAATTATCATTAGACAGAAAAATTCTCATCAGCAAAACTGAGATGAGAAATAGTGAAATAATATGTTCAAAATGGCAGCAACAAAACAAAAACCCTGTCAACCTAGAGTTCCATACCTAGCCAAACTATTATATATTGATAAAAGTGAAATAAAACCATTTGTTGACAAAGTAGTCTGTAAAAGTCTACCCTTGCTGAAAAAATTACTAAAGGCTGTAGTTCAATAAAATGGACATTGAACCAGAAGGAAGGAATGAAAAGAAAAAAGAAATGGAGAGGTTGCAGGTCAGGGCTAGCAGAGTAGAAACTATTTGGAATAAGTCTATAAGAAATCAACCATCAGCCAATTCAAGATGGATAAATGTCGTGAATGCTGTGGGTCCAATCAAAGATAGATGCTGCGGGGTAGCAGTGAGGAAATCCCTGAGATTAGATACTCTCATGGCTGTGTAACATCACTTTTACATAAGGGTGTCAATCCAACAATCCAGGTGAGGAAGTATTGCTAATAGTTTAGTGGTTTTCAATTTTGGCAGCTTAATGGAACTTTGAAAATTATTTTAAAATAAGTAGTGGTTAGATTCTATTCCCTGGGTTTCTAATTTAATTGGTTTGGAGTGTGTCCTACCCACCAGTGTCTGTTTTGTTTTTTAAGCTCCGTAGGTGATTCTGTACAGCCAAGATTGAGAAGCATTGTAATAGATTGTCAGAGAAGAGCAGAGGTCTAGAAACTGACTTCTGCCACCAGTCAAAGCAGACGTGGTAGCCTATTTTCATCATGAGGGAGGCCATTTCACACTCACAAAAATCCCTCACTTTTTACAAGTGGTTGGCAAGCTTTTTGTGTAAAGAGCCAGATAGTAATATTTTAGGTTTTGTCGGCCAGATGGTCTTTGATGCAACTACTGTTCTGCTGCTATAATGCAAAATATCCATGGAATATAGGTAAACAGATGGGCATGGCTTTGTTCCAATAAAATTTTTATTTGCAAAAGAGCCATGAGCAGGATTTGACCTCTGGGACTTATCTTGCCAACCTCTGCTTTCGAGTGTTAAAGTACAGTTAATGAACATGGTTAAGAACCACTGCATTCACTTTGCAGAAAGTAGCCCCACATGTGAATAGGTTAAAGAAGGGTGGAGAAGAACATATGAAGATAACATGCAATGGAGAATGAAGAGCAGGCCAACCATAGACCAGGAAAGGACTCAGAGGGAAAACTCTAGTGAGTGAAAATGCACATGGAGAGAGTTAGGGTCATGGCATAAAGGGGCAGCTATAGCCAGGTTGTTACTTTTCAGTTAAGAGAATGCTAGAGGTGGGGAGGGGGAAGGGTAAACTGTGACAAAGCGAGAGAGAGGCATGGACATATATACATTACCAAACGTAAGGTAGACATCTAGTGGGAAGCAGCCACATAACACAGGGAGATCAGCTCGGTGCTTTGTGACTGCCTGGAGGGGTGGGATAGGGAGGGTGGGAGGGAGGGAGACGCAAGCGGGAAGAGATATGGGAACATATGTATATATATAACTGATTCATTTTGTTGTGAAGCTGAAACTAACATACCACTGTAAAGCAATTATACTCCAATAAAGATGTTAAAAGAAAAAAAAGAAAAAAGAAAAAAAGAAAAAAAAAGAATGCTAGAGAGGTTTATTTGTTTTATATTGTCTTACATTTGTTGGGTTTTTTTTGCTTGTTTTTGTTTTTGCATTTAGAGGGATTGCATGTAAATGAATAGCTTGGACTTTCTTTTTAATCACATCTAGATATTTGGGGTTCAGAATAAATGTACTTCTCTTTTCAACACATTATCATCATTGTACCTGTTGATAGATAGCTAGTGGGAAGCAGCCGCATAGCACAGGGAGATCAGCTCTGTGCTTTGTGACCGCCTGGGGGGGTGGGATAGGGAGGGGGGGGGGGAGGGAGACGCAAGAGAGAAGAGATATGGGAACATATGTATATGTATAACTGATTCACTTTGTTATAAAGCAGAAACTAACACACCATTGTAAAGCAATTATACCCCAATAAAGATGTTTAAAAAAGAAAAGAACATTTTCTTTTCTGCATATCTTGAGTAAATTTATACAAATTATTTGAATATTAAGCTCAAATTATAGTGATTGAAAGAGCAGAGAGATGGGTTTCCTGTCCAGCATAGGCTTTCAAATTTTACTTGACTTTATCCTCTTTTTCTCCTTCTCTGTCCTCATAACTGCTTGCCTGGCTTATGGAACAGCTTAGTTATTTTAATTCCAAAACCCAATTTTTATTCACATTTTAATACTTTTGAAATTTGATTATATCTTTAGGATCAATGAATATGTATTGAATTATTGAATCTATATTACATGTGTTTACCCCAAAACCTGTTGTGAAATTAGTGTATCTTCCAATTGACAGCATTTTTTAAAAATTGAGGTATAGTTGATTTATAATGTTGTGTTAATTTCTGCTGTATAGCCAAGTGATTCAGTTACACACATATATACATTCAATCGAGGAAACACGGGATCATCTTTGCTCATGTTTTTGCCTCCATCTTTCCTTTGGCACCCACTTCCAGAATTTATGAAGAGTTGCATTTCTGGAAAACAAACTTGATCTTGTCATACGAATGTCTCAAAATAATTTTGAGGGATCTCAAAGTTTCAGCTCCATGGCACAGTATTCAAGGGCTTGCTATCTAAAGCCTTTCATATTCTGGCCCAAAGAACTGGGTTTCCAGCCTTCTTCCCCACAACCCCTCTCTCCCTCATGTGAATTGCTTCATTCCTGATGATCAGACACATGGTACATTATTTTAATACAAGTGTTGTAAAGTCTCTGAGAAAACTAATAAAATGGGATTGGTGTTGAGCTGAAAATAGCTAAAAGAGGCTTTTTCTAAAGTTTCATACTTTAAGATGGAAATGTATCATCATCCTTTCAAGAAAGGCTTGACTTTTTATATTATATTGTTGAAGAAGCTTATGGAATATCTTTATTTGGAGCCTTTTAAACATAGACTAGACACTCTTCTGTTGGGGATGATTTTTAGGTACACCCATGAGAGATAAACAAGGTGAACTTTGAGGTTGTGATCAGTTCTGGGAGTTTGGGGGTGATTAATGACTGTATCTACGTGAGGCCAATACATCCAGATGGAAATGAAGAGAGAAATTCAGTTTGTCATCTACATGCTTTCTATACGATTCCAAAGACCTGGATATTTAACAGTTGAATGTATATACTTACTGAAATAAAACAATATATTTCACTGGTATTTTCTGCTTTGAATGTTCACATATTGCTATAGTTTAAGCAACCTCACAAGATAAACACTTGTCTTATTCCCATCTGCCATCAAATAATGTACATCAAATTGTAATTATTAGAAAAATTAAAATGTGAGTTAAATTTAAAATGTTCCCAATTGTTTTTGTTTGGTCTGAGAATAATAATGAAGGAATAGAGTAAAATAAATTTTCTTGATGACTCTTTGGCTATTTCTTCATTTTTATAAAATGGAAATTAGGAAATGGCTTATCCACCAGATGCATATTTATATGGCTCTGTATTTTAAATTTAGGTATGTATCCTGTGCCCTGGGCTGTCCATATGAAGGAAACATCACACCGCAGAAAGTAACAGAAGTAAGATATACACCTGGTTTTCTGGTTCATGGTAAAATGATGTGTATTATTTTTAAAAGTGGGCTGTTTTTCCTAATGTTTATTGCATTTGCACAACTAGACCAAGGAGAGCCATAGACTGGGAAGCATTTATTTGATCACTTAGATAATAGTTTTATTTTAACACTAAAGACTTAGATAGTGCCTATCACTGTCCAGAGTTAACATTTGATTCTTATCATATGGGTGTCCAAAGTTTGAGGGAATAAAAACACCTGATTTGTTTTTATGTGAATAGAACATATTGAGCAACCTTTCTACTTTCTATCAGAATTCTGGGGCGGTTTTTGCACATATACTCAAACTTTGCCTTGGTTGCTCAGGTAGTGTCCCTTTGTTGTCTCCTGCGTATTTTGGCATTTGTATCAGAGTATATACTGCTTCTGTGTTTTTGTTCCTTTGAGATTCTATAGCTCTTTCTGCTGAGATTCAAGTTGCTATTATTCCAGAGCAATTTTATAGCAATTGATTATAGTCATTAAGGACCTACTTATTGAAGTTCATTTTCTACTTCCTCTTCCTTTTTCTTTATTGATACCAATGAATACAAAATGCTTGTCTTTGAAATTATATTAGACTCAAAACTCATTTGTATATGAAACAGCATATTCTTGTGCACTGCTGTTAAGGTTAATTTTTATAAGTTTAGGAATGCTGTGCTGAAGCAGTGAAGATGCGATTGTTAGAATATCGAACTTTAGACAGGATAAACTTTCAGTTTGGCTAAAGCCATTCCTGTTTCTTGTATTCATTTGAACTGCAGATGTTTTCCAGTGAGAGATATACCATAATCTATTAATTAAGCAAGAAAATTTCCCACAGAGGCAGATACATCAATACTATAAAATAATGAAACTTAAATATTTAAAAAATTGTATCGAAATGTAGTTGATTTACAATGTTGCATTTAATTTCTGCTATACAGCAAAGTTACTCAGTTATACATATGTATTCTTTTTCATGTTCTTTTCCATTATGGTTTATCACAGGATATTGAATATAGTTCCCTGTGCTATACAGTAGGACCTTGTTGTTTATCCATCCAATGTATAATAGTTTGCATCTTCATGAAGCTGAAATTTTGCAGTCCTTCCCTGGCATGGGACCCTTCTAAGGCTATGTTATTAATTTATATTCACAACTATATATCCTTTTTTAAAAAAAAATCAGTTTACTGTTTTTATTTTTTTTTTAATTTTTATTTATTTTTTTACTTTTTGGTTGCGTTGGGTCTTTGTTTCTGTGCACGGGCTTTCTCTAGTTGCAGCAAGCGGGGGCTATTTTTCATTGCGGTGCACGGGCTTCTCATTGCAGAGCATGGGCTCTAGGCGTGTGGGCTTCAGTAGCTGCAGCACGCAGGCTCAGTAGTTGTGGCACACGGGCTTAGCTGCTCCGTGGCATGTGGGATCTTCCCGGACCAGGGCTCGAACCCGTGTCCCCTGAATCAGCAGGTGGATTCTTAACCACTGCGCCCCCAGGGAAGTCCCTCTATATTCTTTTCATAAAGAACATTTCCAAAATAGTATAAGTTCAGATCCCACAAAACCTGAACCCAACTCTGCCTATACACCCTCCCCTTGTTTTTATTCCTTCTGGCTTGTGCCACCTCTGGACAGACCACACACAGTCTCAGGCTCTGCATTTCTGCTCCATAATATCACGGGGGTTGCTGAAGAGAATCCTGGAACAGGCAGATTGGAAGCATTAGGAATTCATGACCAGCAACCTTACCTGGTCTTCTGTTCCACACTCCCCTGTGTGGAACAACTCCCTGTCTCCTTTCCCAAATGACTCTTGCAAACAGTGTTCCCTCTGTTGAAGCCTCTAGTCCTTCCTGTCGCTTACTCCCCTGTATATGCAACTGCAGAGCCCTTCCCACTGATACTCGAACATGTTCAAGCCTCTTCCATGTGAAAACTTCCTTCCTTAAGTCAGCATCCCTGGCTAGTTGTCGATGATCTATCTCCATCCTTCCACATCTACACTTCTTCAAAGGGCTGCCTGCAGCAGTGGTGCCCATCTACCCTTGTGCCACCAACTCTCCATCAGTCTCCAAAATGACATCTAGACCGTTCACTCCACTGAAATCCCTCTTTGTTAAGATCACTACGGAGCACCTGGGTCAAGAAGTGCGAGATCCTATTCAGTCCTTGTCTTGACTTCTCAGAAGAATTGGGGGCTAGTGACCATCCCCTCCTTCCGGCCACTCTTGTAGCCCTTGGATTGCCTTGACCCCACACTTAGGATTTTCCTCCAGCCACTTGGATGGAAGCCTCATTCTTCTCTATGTGGCCATTAAGAAATTCCAGCATTTAATAGACAGTTTTGAGGTGATTAATTATCTATGTGAGGCTAAAAACATACAGATGGAAATGAAGAGAGAAATTCAGTTAGTCATCTACATGATTTCTATATGATTCCAAAGACCTGGATATTTAACAGTTGAATGTATGTACCTTTTTAAATAAAGGAGAAGAAAGAGGAGAATCAGCATTATGCTTTTTTTATCCAAGTTTCTATCCAATAATTGTCTCCTACCTGGACTAGGTAGCCCTTCTGAGTTCCCTTCAAACTATTTTTGATGTTGTATTGATACTGCCTTTCTGAAACATAAATCCCATTATGTCACCACTACTCCACATTTGGTCAAGGCTTTCTACTGCTCTTATGATAGACACCTCAACCAAAATCCTAAACCCGGTCAGTTTGCAAGGCTGTGTGTACTACTTGTGCGCTTTGCCCCGGGCCTTCCTCCCCAGCTTTATGGGGCCCCATTCCCCCCTTGGTTTTTTTGCTTTCTTGTCACATCTGTCCTTTGCATCTGACCTTCCTTCCTTTTTTTTTTTCCTTTGGCCACACCCCGGGGCATGCGGGATTCTAGTTCCCCTACCAGTGATTTAACCCGTGCCCCCTGCAGTGGAAGTGTGGAACTTCAACCACTGGACCACCAGGGAATTCCCATGACCTTTCTTCCTACTTGGAATCCCCTTAGTATTTGATATTTCAGCTGCCTGAAATTCCACCTGAATGTTCTTCTCACACCCTTCCTCAGCAACCTCTTCGACAAGTTGATGCTGACTTTATCTCAGGCTGTCCCTGAGCCCCTTCCTGCCTGACAGATCTAGGTCAATTTCCTTTGCTACATGCTCTTAGAATCCTGTTTCTTTGTTCCAAAATTATTATGTTAGCTGTGTTTACACATTCCTGTGTGGAATTGGTTAGGGTCTGTCCTCACTTGACTCCAGATTCCATAATACCTTGAGCCTGTACCCTTAACATCTGCATCCCCAGCATATCCCAGCATCTAGGGCAGCACCTGATGTAAAATAAGCAGCAAAGACACACATAAGCCATGAGTTAAGGGGTGACCATGTGTCTGATTTTGCACAAAGTGATTTTTATATATTCTCATTTTCACAACCAAACATGTCAACACTCACTTCATTGTTATTATTGTGATTTTGAAAAATTAAGTAGTAAGGCTTAGAAAACATGCTAAATAATGGTGTTTTATTGTTTGTATTTTACAGAATAGGGACTGAGTCTTCAAACGGTTCATCTTCTGCCCAGTATCACATGACTAGCATTTGTGGCAGCTGAGATTTCAATCCAGGCCTGTCTGATTCCAGAAGCCATGTCTTTGTCAACATACCATGCTGCCTTCATGAAAATTCATACTGCTCTTTGAAAGTAACATCAGTTATTTGGCTTGAAGGGAGCACAAAATTTACCAGACTCAAAAGCATCTATTTATGAGCTAGAAAATTTAAGCCAAAAATATCAAGTGTCTGTATCGATTACAAAGCTACTTGATTGACATCTCTTGACCGCCTTGAGAAATACTAGTTCCAAAGTAAATCTGTGATGCTTCTGTTTGATTAAAGGGCTGAGAAAATAAGCCTCCCATAAATGACATTGTAGCTTATAATTTCATAAATGAACATGTAGCTACTTAAATAGATACGATTCTGAGGCAAACTTGAATATTAGAGAAAGATAATTACAGGAATGTCATTCAAAGTTTTATATAATGCTTGGGATTTAATGAGCAAGGAAAAGGACTAGAAAACTAAAATATACATTTTCCGTGGATATGCAAGTTATCTTAGTTGTGATGTTTACTTTTAGATGATGTTTGCTAAGGAGCAACAGGGTTTGAGTGTGTTCATTTCCATAGTTTTACTAGCTTGTCACTTTTCTTGATAGGTATCTAAGAGACTGTATGGCATGGGCTGTTACGAGATTTCCCTGGGAGACACAATTGGAGTGGGAACTCCAGGAAGCATGAAGAGGATGTTGGAAAGTGTCATGAAAGAAATCCCACCCAGGGCTCTTGCTGTTCACTGTCATGACACATACGGACAAGCCTTAGCAAATATCCTTACGGCCCTTCAGGTATTTTGTATTATTTGTGTGTATGTGTAAAGATGTGTATATTTATTTGCCATATAAACATATTAAGAGCTTTAGTGAGACAATATTTATAAATTGCTATGAATATAACATTTTTTTTTTTTGAGATTCAAGTGTTGATACTTATTGGGCATCCACAGTGTTCCAAGCCCTTTGTTCACCTCTTCCATGTACGTTATTTCATTTAACCCTCACAGCAACCTTTGCAGTATACATAGCATTAACCTGTTACGTATCAGGAAACAGGATTTGGAGGTTACGTAACCTGCCCAAGATCACACAGCTACAAAGTGCTGGAGTTGAGACCAGAGACTGGGGCTCCCAACTCCATGCCAAGCCTTCTCTCCTAGTTTCCTAACATGCTGACCCAGTAAGAAATTGTTATTGTAGAAATATACATTAATCGAGCCATTGTTTGAACACTGTGGTTAGGTTTAGAATCAAGGGAGAACATTGAATAGCTGTAACTTGGTTGGTAGAAATCTAGAAGGGAGGCAGTGTGATATGACAGAAGAAAAACTAGATTAAAAATCAAGAGACATTTAAACAGTACCTGACACATGATGTGCACTCAGGAAATATTTGTAAATTGCCCATGCTTTTCAGGGCAATGATGTCTCTTATTACTGTTCATTTGATTTGATAAAAATCCCTGAATTTGTTCTTTTTAAATGTATTAATCTTCTCAGACCTATGTCTGCTTTTTTCAACTCCCACTTGCTCTCAGCCTGAAAAGTTGATAGATTGAAAAATGATGGCATTTTTGAGGAGCGCAAATCACAGAGATAGTAGTGTGTACTGTTGTAATCATGTAACTTATGCTCTTTTGGATAATTTGGTGCTCTGTGATGAGGAGATGTGCTGAAATATAGACTATTTTGTTTAAGATGTCTTCCTGATGTTGGCAAGCATCCTTTTGAAAGAACTCCTGGTTTTTATCAAGTATATTCTGATCAAAATCAAGAGAGCTAGAAAGTTGGAGGATTAAGAATTGCTTATTACATTCTAATGGTACCTCAGTTCTTTTTAATGTATTTATTGAAAAGAATAGATATAAATTGCATTTTAAGGTATTTATTTTTAAATTGATGTTGTTTCTTAAACTCGGATAAAAATAGATTCACTGGATGTTCTTCGAACCCAAGATTTTGACAACTAAAGATAAGAGTGTCTGAAAGCTTTTTGGTGAGGCTGAAAATCAATACATAAAGCTTAATGTCATCATCCTGCAGTGCACAGTTGTTTGGCAGAAGTTAAAAAAAACGGTGAATATCAAGCCCCACAAGGGCTTAACATATGTGCACAAATCCTTATTTGTCCTCTGGAAGCAGGCAAGGAACATTGTATTGAATTAGAAGAAAAAATGATATCCCATGGACTTTGGGGCATTTTGACAATTTTCCTTCTCTATTCTAGTTTCTAAAACAATAGAGAACTAGGCATCACTTCAGGATTCTGTGTTCAGCTGCAACTGTAACTTATTAAGTGTTCCTCACCAGCAAGTTCCTGGAGAGGTCTGTGTGTCTGTGAGTCTCTCTCATTTCTCATATGGATATATCCTCTAGATGGTAACACTTTAGCATATTTCATTTCATGTAGCACATTTCACTTGAGCATATTTCATTTCATGTACCATATTTATTATATAATGAGTGATAGTTTAGGGTTTTGGGATCCAGGGCTATAGTGCACATTCTGGGAACCCAAAGATCTGATTCTGGAAACTCTGCCTGTTGAAAATGCCCCACTGCAAAATATTGCTGTTACCCCATTGTGATTGTGACAGTTAAGGCTGTCTGAGAAAGTAAGATTTAAAATCAGATATAAAGAATGAGAAGAAAGGAACCTCAATAAGGGGTGTGTGTGTGTGTGTGTGTGTGTGTGTGTGTGTGTGTCTGTGTGTGTGTCTGTGTGTGTGTGCATGCATTTGTGTGTGTGTATGGGCATCAATGTGTGAGAAGAATGTTCAAGCACATGAAACACCACCCGGGCAAAAGGCCTTGGAGAGGGAAGAGCATGTCCTAGGAGCTGAAAGACGACTATTGTATTCAGAGGGGAACCTGAGCTTTATAACATTCGCTGAATTAGAAGAACTGCAGAGTCTCCATTTACAAAGAGATGCGGACTGCAATTCTGGGGCATTTGCCCATCCATACTGTAACAGCAGTACGGGGTGGGGACAGGAAAGAACCTTGGGCCCAAGCAAGATGGGGAGCAGAGGCCAGAACCTGTATAAGGCTGAGGCCCCTCACCCCGCAATAAAAACACCACAACTTCAGTCAAAAAGGGTGAACCAGCAAAAACCACCTAACAACGGGAGAAGGCGGCAAGGATATTTATTCTAATGGTCTTGGCTATGGGTGAAGGAGAAATAGACAAGCTCCCTTTATATGTCATAACTTTTTGTTGACCCTGTTGTGAGTTTAGGGTTGAAATTCACATTGCTTGCAGAATGTGAAAGACTCAAGTAGGCAAATTATTTTCAAATGGGTGTGAATTAGTAGCACCTACAGATGTCAGGAAGAATATAAATCTTTTCAGAAGGAACATATCTTCAATTTAAGCTGAATTATTTGGGGGGTGTGTGTGTGTATGTGTCTATGTGTGTATGTGTATGTGTGTGTGTTTATGTCTCTCTCTGTGTGTATGCCTGTGTGTGTCTCTGTGTGTTCATGTGTATATGTGTGTATGTGTATATGCATATGTGCGTATGCATGTGTGTGTACATGTATATGTGTATTTGTGTGTATGTGTCTATGTGTATCTGTATATCTAGGTGTGTATGTGTGTGTGTATGTCTGTCAGGGGAAGGGTGGATATTTTGCTCTTTGGCATCTCCTGTACAAGTTAGCAGGAAACGTGTCCACAAGTATCTGTCATTGTGTTTTCTGTTCTTTTACTATGTGCACAAGCTCTAAGCATGTACGTGAGGTGGGAGGGCAGAAGGGAGGCGAGGGGCCTGGGAAAGTGCACTTGGAGCATGGCGGTGTTGTATTGCCCAAACCTTGACGTGTAGTCACAGTGTAAGTGGATGGAGGAGAGGGTAAGAGCAGCTTGTGTAAGAAGCAATATGCAGTGCGAGTGGCCAGTTTAAATGAACAGTTTAATGTTGGAGTTGTAGAGTTTGTGTTTGCTGCCATCCACTTTCAAAAAGTTTCATCCACTTTCATCCAGTTTGATAAGCCAGTGCCAGTGTAAGAAAAAATATACACTTCTGCTCTCTGAAACTGTGTGTAGCTGAGACAGCCTGTAAATGTTTGGGGAGGTGTATACTCACACAGACAGCGGAGCATTGTCTTGGAATGTCTTTGCAGACATGTGTACTGGTTGGTCCCTGGCAACGCTGAGTGAGGCAGAGTCCTCCAGGGCCCCTTCCCAATAAATGCAGCAGCAGCAACAAAATAACCAGGATTACCTTGAGTGGAGGAGAAAAAATGTCTTAGGAAAAAAACAAAAACAAAAACCAAAACCAAACCTGCCAGTGTTTAAGTAGAAGGGAAATCAGAGAAAGTCCCACTTGGTTATGAACTAGGCTAACTCTGGCTTCAGGAAGCAGTGGCCATACTTCATTCTTTAAAATGGAATCTTTGAAGTGGCTTCTAGTTAGATTGCTGGTGCATGTGGAGTGGATATCATTTGTTTCAATTTAGGGGTTAGGAAATAGTTTATAGTGCTCCAAACTGGAAGTTAAAATAATGACAAGGAGACATGAAGTAGGTGGAAACTTGGCCATGATAGTAGGAAACAAATGAGAGTTATAAATGGAACATCCCCCTCAGTCTGGAAAGCACATACTAATAATGTAATAGAAGGATCATTCTTGGGTTCCCAGGTTTATTGTATTTTTTTTTATTACTTAAACATATGACTTATAGGGCAGTACATGGTTGTATGGGAGTCAAGAATTTGTAATTATCAGATATTCTTTAATATAGAGAAATAATTGACACTATAGATTTGAGTGGGGGATATTTATAACCACCCAAACCCAAAAGAGCAAGAAAATGAGGTGACAAAACGTACATCATTTCAGTAATGGAAGAAATGTACATGGTCCAATATACTTGTCTTAATTTTTTATGTAAAAATTGAGTCTCACCCTTTTGCATATTCCCAAGTACCTAAGTAAAACACCAGTGAACAAATTACTTAATCTACTTAACACTAAACAATTGCACAGTCTCTGTTTTTCTTCACTCAAATGATCTGAGTCTTCATAACTGGGTAAAAACAGAGTAAAACAAATGAGTTCCAATATCACAAGTAACAGTACCACATTAACTGGTAGCAAAGAGAGTAGAACAGGCAATATTTAGCTTTCCCCTAAAGAAATACCATGTGCCTTTTTCTTCTCTTACACTTAATAGACATTTAGTTAATGTGTCTTTCCTCATGATGTTTTCCATATGTTTAGCATTCTCTCTTAGAAGAGCCAAGTCATTTACCTAATTTTTACAACAAAGCATTCATTTCTTTATATTGACTCTCGCTAAACCACGTTTAAATGCTACCAAACAATTTCCTCATGTAATTTGTTTTTCAGGTTCTCAAAGAAAATTTTTAGAATTCCAAATCCTCTTCTCAATTCTATACCTATAGAATGTGTACAATGATGTTTATGTCCTCAGATTTTACAAAACTGAGATGAGATGCAGGGTTTCTAGAACATTTGTCTTGGTGACTGCATTTGGTTGATACTTCATACTATTACCGTCATTACAGTCAAAACTATTACTACTGCTGATATACAAATAGCAATAATATTATAACCTTTATTACTCAAGGAGCCAGAGGCATAAAGCATTGCTTTGCAAATATGTAAATTTGTAAATACATGCATTAGATATTATTCATTTATTCAACATCTATTAAAGAGCTAAATAGAAATCAGTGAGCAAGAAAGAAAACAAAAAGTTGAAAACTGGATGCTCCTACATAGGTTTTACAAAATGCATCACTAATTTATTCAACAAATATTCATT